CGTTCTGCTATCGCTAAGGCGGGCAAGCTGTTTCTGTTTCAAGAATGACTCTTCTTAGTGCTCTCAAATCTGGTTACTCGGGTGCCCTGGTAACGTGCTGTGCCTTGGGGGGGGGCGACGGGGGTCTGCAGACACAGTCCCCTGGAAACACCCCAGCACTTCTTAAGGTCGAGAGATTCTACCAGCTTGACTTACACCCAGGCAGTCGTCGTGGGCACAAACCGTACCATGGCATTCCCTGGCTGTCAGAGGTTTGAGTGTCACTGCGTTTGTTGCTCTGGACCCAGCCAACCAGGGCTCTGCATTAACCGAGTCCTTTTTGTCTTGGAATAAAGATGACATGGGGGGCACGCAGTGCTCATGCAGTGCAGTGTGGGCCAGCACAGTGGGCATGCAGCGACAGTGAATCGCGTGTGCAATGCTGCGTGTGCAGTGCGTATGCAGGGTGTGCTGGTTGTGCGCAGTGTGGGATGGATGTGCCATGAGTGCTGCCAGTGGGCATGCAGCGAATAGTGTGTGTCGTGCATATGCAGTGTAGTGTATGCAATGCATGTTGTGGGTGTGCAGTGCACTATGTGCTGGCAACTGGGCATGTAGTGTCAGCAGTGTGTGCTGTGCGGTGTGTGCAGATGCAGAGGACACGCAGCGAATGCAGTGTGTGCTGGTGCAGTGCATATGCAGTGTGTGCTGGTGCAGTGTGTGCTGATGCAGCGGGCATGCAACGAATGCAGTGTGTGCTGACGCAGCGCGTATGCAGTGTGTGCTGACGCAGTGGGCATGCAGCAAATGCAGTGTGTGCTGACTCAGAGAGCACGCAGCCAATACAGTGTGTGCTGTGCAGTGAGCGATGAGGCAGTGGGCATGCAGAGAATGCAGTGTGTGCTGTGCAGTGCGTATTCAGTGCACTGCGCTATGTGTGCCAAGTGTCTGCAGTGTGCCTGGGTGGACATTGCCAACCCATCTCACTCCCCCACTCACATCTTTGCTCCTCGCCTCCCCAGGCGTTGCTGGACCTTGGGGGCTCCCCCAACTACAAGGACCGTCGGGGCCTCACCCCCCTGTACCACACAGCCATGGTGGGGGGCGACCCACGCTGCTGCGAGCTGCTGCTCTACAACCAGGCCCACATCGGCACCATGGACGAGAACGGCTGGCAGGAGATCCACCAGGTCAGAGCCCGCAGACGGGGACACCCCCTTCCCTACAAAGACAACCCGAGACAGGGAACCCCTCGAGCGATCCATCCCCTGTCGTCCAGTCCCAGCTCCCGGCAGTCAGAGGTTTAGGGACACCCAGAGCATGGACTTGCCACCCTGACCATCTTGGCTAATCGCCATTGATGGACCTACCCTCCGTGAATGTATCTAGCTCTTTTTTGAACCCCAGTTCTACTTTTGGCCTTCACCACATCCCCTGGCAAGGAGTTCCACAGGTTGACCGTACGTTGCGTGAAGAACTACTCACTTCTCGGTTTGTTTTAAACCGGCCGCCTGTTAATTTCATCGGGTGACCCCTCATTTGTGTGTTACGAAAATGGGGTAAATAACACTTCCCTACTCCCTTTCTCCACGCCATTCACCATTTTATAGATCAATGTTGTACCCGCCCCCCGTTAACTGTCTCTTTTCCGAGCCGAGCAATCCCAGTGTTTTAAATCTCTCCTCACGTGGAAGCCGTTCCGTACCCTTAGTAATTTTTGTTATCCTTCTTTACTTTTTCCAATTCCGATGTATCTTTTTTTGAGACGGGGCGACCAGGACTGCACGCAGTATTCAAGATGTGGGCGGACCACAGATTTATATAGAGGCAATATGATCTTTTCTGTCTTATTATCTATCCCATTCCTAATGGTTCCTAACAATCTGTTCGCTTTTCTGTCTGCCGCTGCACTTTGAGCAGACGTTTTCAGAGAACTATCCACGATGACTCCCAGATCTCTTCCTTGAGTGGTAACAGCTAATTTAGACCCCATCATTTTGGATGCGGCGTTGGGATTCTGTTTTCCAATGTGTGTTACTTTGCATTTATCAACACTGAATTTCATCTGCCATTTTCTTGCCCAGTCACTCAGTCTTGTGAGATCCTTTTGTAGCTTTTCGCAGTATGCTTGGGACTTAATTACCTTGAGTAGTTTTGTATATGGTCTGCAAACTTTGCCACCCGTTTTTCCTGTTCATTTATGAGTATGTTAAACAGCACTGGTCCCGGTACAGATCGCTGGGGGCCCCCGCTATTTACCTCTCTCCACTGTGAAAATTGATTCTTATTTTTCCTTTCCTATCCTTTAACCAGTGACTGATCTGTGAGAGGAGCTTCCCTCGTATCCCATGACAGCTCACTTTGCTTAAGAGCCTTTGGTGAGGGACCTTGTCAAAGGCTTTCTGAAAATCTAACTACACCATATCCACTGGATCCCCTTGTCCACGTATTCGTCGACCCCTTCAAAGAATTCTAATAGATTGGCGAGGCGCGATTTCCCTTTACTAAAGCTGTGTTGACTCTTCCCCAACAAATTATGTTCATCCGTGTGTCTGATCATTCTGTTCTTTACTAGAGTTTTTTACCAATTTGCTACTGAAGTCAGGCTTAATGGCCTGTCATTGCCAGGATCGCCTCTGGAGCCTTTTAAAAAAATTGGTGTTACATTAGCTGTCGTCCAGTGACCTGGTAGAGAGGCTGCTTTAAGCGATAGGTTACATACCATAGTCCATGCTTCTGCAGTTTCATAGCTGACGTCCTTACGAACTCTTGGGTGATTCCTGTCTGGTCCTGGGTGACTTGTTACTGGAATTGTTCCAAAACTTCCTCTATTGACACCTCAGTCTGGGACAGTTCCTCAGATTTGTCACCTAAAAAGCATGACTCACATGTGGGAATCTCCCTCACACCCTCTGCAGCGAAGACCGACACAAAGAATTCATTTAGCTTCTCTGCAACGGCCTTGTCTTCCTTGCGTGCTCCGTCAGCACCTCGATTGTCCAGGCTTCCCGCTTCCGATGTACTTACAGCAATTTTTATTTTATTTTTATTTGTGTGTGTTTTGCTAGTTGCTTTCTGTCACGGACTCACAGATCGTGCCCACTCTTGGCCCCGTGCGGTCCGTGGGGGGTGCCCCTTTTAGTGAGACAGCCCTTCTCGGGGGTCCACTCTCTCTCGGGGTCCGGCCCCTCCACCTCCTGGATCCGCACCTCTCTGAGCCTTAGCACGTCTGTCTCTGCCGTGGGCCCCCTCAGGGAGTCCACTCGCTCTGGACCCCCGGGGCCTCCACCCCCGAAGGGGTTGATGCAACCCTGTTCTCTAGACCGGAGTGACTCTCAGCCAGCATAAAACAGGAGGGTTTATTGAGAGTTGAACACAGCACAGGAAACTCTGACCCTCAGGCCTGGCCTCCCTCAGCCCAGCACATCCCAGTCTCTCTGCATCCAGGTGGGCTCTGCCTGCTTCCCCTCTCCAGCCCAGAGCCCCCCTGCTCGCCGCTGGGCATCCGAGATCCCCGGCCCCAGGTCCCGCCTCTGTCCATTGTCTTCCCTCCAGGTAAACAGGGTCGTAAACCAGGGCCTCCTCTCCTGCTTCTGTCCTCTGGCTGGAACCGGCTGGTTAGGTCACTGGGTCCTCACTCTGCAGCCCATTGTCCTCCCACTGGCCAGAACCGGCTGCATCTCCTCAGCTGGGCCTCTGGGTCACCAGGTCGCCAGGTCACCGGTCGCTGGGGTCTCCATCCTCCCGGCCACCGGCTGGGTCCCCACGTCCTCTCTCTGGTCCTCTGCAAAACACACTCCCTCTCCCCTCACCTCGTTAAACCAGTAACACCCAGGGAAACTGAGTCCCACCCCCTCTGCATACAAACCATTGAAACTCCACAGAAAACAAGAAAACCCCCCACTTCGTCACACTTTCAACTTCTGTCTTGGCCTGATTATACTTCTACTCCTGACTTGACACAGAGTTTGTTCCTTTCTCTTTCCCTCAGGAAAATTTGACTTCCAATTTTTAAAAGATGTCTCTTTGTCTCTAATCGCCTCTCTTACTTTGATGTTTAGCCATGGTGGCATTTTTTTGGTCCTCCTACTGTCTCTTGAATGTGGGGTGTATATATAGTGTGAGCCTGTATTACGGTGGTTTAAAAAAGTTTCCTTGCAGTTTGCAGGCATTTCACTCTTGCGACTGTACTTTTTAATTTTAATGTTAATACTGCGGTGGGTTTTTTCTGGTGTTTTCCTCCCCACCCCCCGAGGATGTGAAATTTAACTACGTTATGGTCACTATTACTGAGCAGTTCAACTACATTCACCTCTTGGAGCAGATCCTGTGCACCACTTGGGACTAAATCAAGAATCGCCTCTCCCCCTGTGGGTCCCAGGACTCACCCGTTGAGGACACCCGAAAAAGAGACCCTCCCAGCCAGATCCCCTCATGAGAACCCACCCAGCCAGACCCCCTGCAATGGTGCCAGATCCCCCCCCACACCAATAGGGTCACCCCCATGACGAGGACCCCCCTCTGATAGGAACCTCTGCCCACCCCCACACACACACTCCAGACCCCATATCGTTTCAGGAACCCCGGCCCACATTCACCCACCCCTTGGCCCAGAGCTGCCCAGCCCATGTAAGGAAAGAGGGGTGGGGCGGGGTCTGTCCCATTCAACGCCCCCCACACCTTTGCTGACGTGTGTCTCTGTCTTGCCCCCCAGGCCTGCCAACACGGGCACTCCCAGCATCTGGAACATCTGCTCTTCTACGGGGCCGAGCCGGGGGCCCAGAACGCTTCCGGGAACACGGCGCTGCATGTCTGTGCCCTCTACAACAAGGTGTGTGTGTGAGACCGTGCCCCCCCCCGCACTGCACAACCACCCCCCCACTGTCCTCTCCCCCCCCAGAACACTCCCCATCTCACGCCACGTCCTCCCGCAGGAAAGCTGTGCCCGGATCCTGCTCTACCGGGGGGCCAACAAAGAGATTAAGAACAACGGCGGCCAGACGCCTTTCCAGGTGTGTGTGTGTGGGGGGGGAGAGGGGGCAGGGTGAGGGGTGTGCAGCAGGGTGCAGGGGAGGGTGCAGGATGGAGGCGTGCGGGAGGAGGTTGTGGGGCAGGGTGCATGGCTTGAGGAGTGCAGGGGGGATCTGGGGTGTGTGCAAAGGGGGGGAAGCTCTGATCCATTCCCCCCACCCCCCCCAGGTGGCTGTGATCGCCGGGAACTTCGAGCTGGGGGAGCTGATCAAGAACCACCGGGACGCTGACGTGGGTGAGTTGGGGAGGTCCCAGCGTTCAGCCACTGACCACGCCCCCACCCCAGGGAGAGCCCCACCCCTATCCACAGGCCACATCCCCCAGAGCCCCCTCTGTGGAGAGCCCCCCAATGTTAAAAAATCAGGCGTCACACCCCGTCCGTCAGGGGACAATGAGAAAATCAAGATCCGAGAGCGGG